GTGGTCTTTTTTAGTAAGCTGTTCATTGTACATTCAGCGAATGTTCATGTAATTTCATTGCAATTTGACATTAACTGTTAACTAACGATGTTGGCAACCACAGTTCTTTTTTTTCTTTTTTTTTTTTTTTGGTCATCCACATTTTTAAAGCGTTGTATGAAAAATTAAATATATTTCTTCTAAGTCCTAAATCATTGAAATTGCTGTGTATTTTATCGTGAAAAAAAAATAAATTGTACCAGAGTAATTTCCAAAGTTCTGTAAACAAATTAAAACACCAACCATTATATTCAACATGTCTAGAGGAAGAAAATAGAATCAGGCAACACAGAGAGAACGAACAGGAAGGTTAAACACCTTAACCTCCCTAGACCATCAAGGTATTCAAGATTATAGACATACCTTGACACTTGCATCGTTTGAATATGCTTCAGCTATGTCACAAAGCTTTCCAGCAATGTATGAAGCAGAGTACTTTCCATCAGCAGTCCCATACTCTCCCAGAACCCAACAGATGACCTGAAATTAGAACTAACTCAAGATATTAAAAAGGAGTGTAATTTTTGCAGTTTGTTAGAGATTGGAGAATTGTACCTGAAGAAATGCAGATGGAAGCTTCGGGTTCCCAATAATGCGCAAATATGACTCCACCTATGCATGAAATAGTTTAATTTAATAAGGAAACTACTGCAGAAAAAGGACGGAAGTTTTAAGAAATAATTCATTGACATTCAATCCCAAAAATACGATCTTTGGGGTTTCGCCTATGGTCAACACATTCCAAATAAAACATGGAGGATAAAATGCCAACTTACGCACACCTCCGCTGTTCTTATGAGACAATCTTAGACCCTACTATAATTGGTTGGCAAGATAACTAGTAAAATTTTAAATATAAGGTAGCTGACCACCCTGACTTCTACCATTTCCTCTAATGTCCTTTACTATTTCCATTGACCCTTGGTAACACTGGGTCAGCCCATAGTTGCTAATACATAATGATACAATTTTATAAACACTTTTAAAACAAATATAAGTGTGTTGTCATGGGAAACAAAATCAATAGTCAATAGATATAAATATAAGTTTGGACATCAATGAGAGGCAACAAAGAAACTTCTGGTATCATAAAGGCTCCTAAACTGATGCTAAGAGGTGCTAAAAAATAGTTGTAACTTAAACACAATTAATAAAGTCACAGATTTTTAACAGCGTGAAGAGCACTGAGGCACAACAGATTTTCGAATCTTGGGTGTACGTTGAAAAACTTCCAATAGGCACACGCTATGACTTTTTTAAAAGATACGCAGTACTATGAAGCATGAGGCTATCATATGATATCCAAAAGTGCATCATAATACTATTACATCGTGCCTATGATAAAATTTTAGCAAACACAATAATAGAGTGCTAATGAAGTTACATACAGCAGATGATCTCAGCTGGTTATCTACTGTATCACCATCCTCTCTGAATCCTTCCGCAATCAACCGCATCAAATCATGTGCAACTTTAATATTCACCAAATCTCCAGCGTGTTCAAAAACTTTATTAATGGTCTGAAGAGGATTAAAGGATCTGGCTGATACTCGAACAGTAATAATAATCACTCAACAAACAAACAAGAAGGAGATAAGGTCCAAATACCTGAATGAACCAATGGTTATTAGGTGCAAATTCCTCGGCTAGTTTAACACATCTCGATGCAATATAGGTCTTATAATGATGGTCAGTAATGCTTATCATATATTCAATCATGCGATTGACAATCACTTCCACATTGGTGGGCCTGGTCATAGTATACAATAATTCAAATGTTTTTCTCTTTAAGGTATCATCAGGATCCTGAGGAACAAACACCAAAACATGGATCAAATATAACTCATAGTAGCATGCATATAAATCAACCTTGAATATAGAGTTGTAGTCAACATATTTGTAATTGAAATGGGATAAATTATATATTATTCTAAATAATACAATTGTAAGCCACTGCCACTTAAATAAGTATATAATTAGTTGCTCAAGGAGACAATAATGCTTGTCCTCTCACAACTTGCATTTTTATAAATCCAAGGATAAAATAAAATTGGAATGCAGCTTAGTCTATTTACATCCACAGAAACAAAAAAGAACAAAAAAATATAAACGCAACGGCCCTATCTGCATACATGTAAAACACATTTTTATCAAGGCTAGCTGCCTGGCAGAGAGAAAAATATCACTCACCTCCATACAATCAATCACAGCTAGCTGATGTTGTTCTGCAATATCTGGACTTAGCTTTATAAGTCGACCAAGTGCATCAATGCCCATGTATTTTAGATTATGACTATCACTCTGGCCACAAAAGTGTGTAAAGTAAATATAGGTCAAAGCCAAAATAGATTAATGTCACTAACATAGCACACCGTACACGGGGCAGTACAACCAAACCTTCAAAAATCTAGAGATTGCGTCAGCAGCAGCTTCCAGCAACTTAGGATTCGGGAAAATAGAAGCAACGCAACATATACTTTGGTAAAGTACAGCATTTCCTATATTACTCAAAGGATCATACTTCTTAAATAAATCCCCAACAACAGTATACATGTGTTCGCTTGCTTGCCTGTCGCCAGCACCCAGTAATGCAAGAATTTTCAATAATTTGATCTGTACAATTAAGTTCGCTTCAATTGAAAGGAAACGAAAAAGGTCATTGCAGAAGGCACATTAGCAGCTAAGTAACCTTATCAATCAGAATGCATATAGAAACCTATGTTGCAGAGATTATCGGACCTGTATGAATGGAGCCGGCATCTGGTGGTAATCATAACTCTTCGGCAATCTGCGCTCAGCTACTTGTTTAAGAATGCTTACAAAACTTACAACTAAATCATTATAGGAATGTACATCCGTGGTAATGAGATCAAAAAGAGGGCAAAGTGTAGCTCCCATGACTCCAGGATCGTTGTCACACAACCTCTACAACCAAAAAAATAAACAAACAAGCGAACTTCTCACGGCACTGAAGGGAAAAAAAAGCAACAACCAAGTATCGAAATCTGAAACCCACCTTACGGAAATTGGAGAGAAGATGCGATATGGAAGAGGGCGATTTCTGATGGAAGCGATGTAGAGCCATGATGGCCTTCTTTCTAACGGCCTCCTTTGAGTGTCCCAACAACTCGACAACCTGCGGTAACACTGCAGGTATAGTCTCCTCGTTAATAAGCCTACACACCGCATTGAGAGCCGCACAGACGATGAGATAATTGTCAGACTTGAGGTCTTTCTGGATGGTATTAACAATGAGGATTATGAGGTCGTGGTCCTCGTTGAGAAAGAGGGTGACGGCCAAATAGCCAGTGCGCTTCAGCAGAAGATTATCGTCATGAGTCATCTTGACGGCATGAATGTAGCCGAATGAGGCATCGTGACCGAGCATCTCGACATAAACGAGACGAATAATATACTCCTTCATCTTGCGCTTGGAAATGTCGGGATCGGTGAGACGGCGTTTCAAATTTTCCATCTCCTGGATGATAATTCGCTCCTCTTCAGCCTTGGATCTCGCTTCGCCGATCGATTTAATCAGATCCAGAAACTCCTTCGACTGCCCAAACCCTCCCTGAGAACCCATGGCTAGCTCTCTGCCGATCGTCTTCAACTGTTCCATCTTCAAACTTTCTAATTTCAATCAACAGCCTCCGTTTCACAGAAATCCACAGAAATTAACATAAAACTTCTAGGGTTTATGATCCAGAGAAATCCGCAGAATACCAAACTTATCAATACTTCTGAAATGAGCAGTTCAACCTGAAATTGAAATTTTCGGTATGAATTAACACATACATTCGCCGGCGGTCGCCGAATGTCGGAGAAGTAGAGGGAGGTGGTTCTTCACAGCTCCGTGAAAGACAGATTTCTTCTTCCTAATTCGTCTTCTTCTACGGTTGCTCGAGTTTTTCGTCGATTGAGATCGAAATTCTTCACAGCTCCGTGAAAGTTTTTCGTCGAAGAACAGATTTAATCTTAACTTTTAAGAAAAATAAAGGAATTACCGATCATAAACATAAATATGTATAATTTCTTAAAAAATATTTGTATAATTAACTTTTAAATTATACTTTTAATCTTTAAAAACAACTAAATTCTTATTTAACTATTTTTTTAATTTCCAATCCATATTTTTTTAATGTTCCAATTACATAAGAAATTAACTGATAAATATAAATATTTTAAAAAAAATTAATTTCCTTTTAGAAGTGATAATTAAAGTTACATAATTGAAACTTATAATTAAAGTTTAATTAATGTAATTATTATAATCACCATAAAAGCTACGTAATTGAAACTTATATAATATTACATAATTTTTTGATGTGGGTATTAAAAAAAATTATTAAAGATTATAAATACTTTTACAATTTTTTTTTTAATTTATAAAATATAAAATTGAAAACTAACAATATATTATATAATTTTTATGGAAAAAAATTTATATTTAATAATTAATTGTATAAATTTAAAATCTATGAGTAAATAAATTAAATTTTTTTGGCTAACTCGATAATTAAGCAATCATTTTAAATTAATTTAGTTATTGATTTTATATTTATATATCATCAAAGTTAATTTTGAATGATAAATACATGAAACACGACAAAAATAATTTTTACGAAGTAAAAAATAACTCATAACAAGAAGAAATAATCGGAGAAAGTATATTTTTAAACAAAATCAATTTACGATAAATATTTTTAAAATTTAACAAATTAAAAATATGAATTAGTGAATTTTGTAAGAATACTAGATGAATTATCTAAAAATTAGTTTAAATGATTAATCAAAATTTATTAAAATGTATTGTAATTAATAAAAGTATATTTGTGGTTAATAAAAATAAACAAATTCGTTATTTAAAAAATTCAAGATATTTAAAAAACTCTATAAAAAAAAATAATTTACGTCCCAAAAGTTTTGGCGCCCGGTCAAGCGATCATATAAATACCGTAAATTGCAAGTTCACGCCAGTGTCAACCAAATTCGCTTACTGCTGTTTGATGAATGGGGAGAAAGACGTTGCATCAAACCAAGCTTGGCCGGAGGAGAAAGCCCTAATCGTCCGGATCGCAGCAAGCTACCAGTTCGTTTCTTCAAACTTCAGCTTCACATTTCAATCTGTTATTTAATATCCATTTCGAGGTTTTGGAGTTTTCTTGATCGATGGCGACCGAATCTGGCTTTGAAGCTTCTTCCTATTCCGTGGGATCATACAATGGGAGCTCGATGAGTTTTATTCCCAAATGTGAGATTCGTTATGAAGGAATTCTCTACCACCTCAGCATCCACGAGTCTACCATCGGCCTGAAGAATGGTACGTATGAAGTCGTTGTTAGACGAACACGACTCTCCGTATGATAGTGCATAAACTCTCATGGCTTTGCTTTGGGCTTTCCCAAAAGGCCTCATACCAATGGAGAGTGTATTCTTAGATTATAAACCCATGACCATTTCCTAAATTAATGGATGTGGGACTTTCATCATCCAACACCTCCCCTCGAACAAAGCACGCCTCCCCTTAATCGAGGCTCGACTCCTTTGGAGTTTTAGTCATTTTTGACTGCCTTCGTACCTTCGAGGAGGCTTGACTCCTTTTGGAATCCTTTGTTCGACATTTAAGGATTTTTCAATCTATTGACACGGCTAAGTTTAGGGCATGGCTCTGATACCATGTTAGACGAACACGACTCTCCACAATGGTATGATATTGTCCACTTTGAGCATAAACTCTCATGGCTTTGCTTTGGGCTTCCCAAAAGGCCTCATACCAATGAAGAGTGTATTCTTAGATTATAAACCCATGACCATTTCCTAAATTAACCGATGTGGGACTTTCATCATCCAACAGTCGTGCTCTCTGTCAGCGCTGTTTCTCTGTGTTATCGCTCTGTTTCGTCTCATCGTAATATGAACGCTGGCGTTATCATGTTCGAATTCATATAAATAATATGTCGCAATTGACAATTGTAGGTCATTGATTTGTATGGTCAGTATCATGCACTAGTACCAATGTTTGAACAGTAATCAATACGTCTTAAATATTAAGAAGGATGAAAGATCGATCTCCCGCAGATCCTTCCAAGTGATAAGGTGTATGAATGTATTCTGTTTCGGAGCAGTGACATCAAGGTAACAGAGATGTATTAAATCATATTTCCTTCTCGTCACTTATCGTCAGGTCAATGTACGATCAGATTGGCTTAGAGCTTTAAAATATGAAATATAAGGTTGCCTTGTTCCGGCATAGATTACCTTTCCATCCTTCAATGCCTTATACGTCTAATAGGATGATTAGATATAAGGCTATGCTGTTGCAAAAACAAGAAATCAACGTTAGAACTGCATTTTTATAGGGTATGCGCACACTATTGCGCCAGTTTTCGATGGACATTGTTTAAACTAATACTATTTGATATAGTCTGAATATATTTTAGAAAGTGTTACTATTATACAAGAATCTGCAATTCTGGTCCCCCTCATTTGCTAACACAGACCAGCAGATTCATGATGGTTCTGCTGTGGTCCAGATACTCTTGTTTGTCTATTACGTAAAGAATTAGCACAGTATAACATGAAAAAGGAAATCTCATTCAGCTTTTCCAATGCAGTCAAATCATGCTGGGGTCTCGACTTCACCTCTGTCTGCTTCAGTTGGACGTGAAACATTGATGGTCTCAAAACAGTGCCAGAATACTCTGGCTTTTAATAATGGACAGCATCCTAGCAGATTGTCTGCATATCTGTAGCTGCAGGTATGCTGTAACAATATACATAGTTTATTCATTGTCCTTGGAAAACACTGGTTTCTGTCATTTTCTGCATCGGAGAAAAAAGGAAAACAACGGAAAATCACTTTATATTTCAGTCTTCGAAGTACTTTATCATTTTAACTGGCAACAGAAGTAACAGGCTCTTCAAAATCATTTAAATATTGACTTAGGATTTGCCAAAAACTCAGATTGTGCATGTGTTGATCCTGTATCATGTCTAGTTTTTTTTTATCAGCTAATTGATAGTTAACAACCATGCTTTGCTTTTCATGATGTTTGTTCACCATCCCATTCAACAGCAATGACATCTACTTGTTCCTTTCCTCCAATTTGGCAAGAGATTGGCAAATCCAAAGCTTAAATTTCGGATAAACCTATATTCTACTCACCATCAACTCTTTCCTGGCAGTCTGTTCTGAATAACCTTCTTTTTCGGGTTCAGGTCCATTGCTTGCATTGTCAGCATCCTCATTAACTCCTTTTCAATTATCAGTCTGTGGCAGACGTACTTTCCTCCACAAAAAGACTGTGTTGGTGCAAGAAACTTGGGTGCTTCCACACATTTTCCTTGTAATTCTTTGGTATCAATTGCTGCTTTAGAACATTAAGCACCCTCGTTACTATCTCCGAGAGAGACACCTGCTCAACAGGTTTGGTGCTTTATACAGTTTTCAAAATTATTTTCATATAACGACTTTCTAGTTTCTTATAGTTAAACCACATCATTTGGTCTATTTGAGCTAAATATTGATATTTTTTTATTCTTCTCGAACAAGTAGATTTGAAGTCTACACCTTATTTAAACAGCAGTTGGTGGTATTTTTTGTTATAACCTAAAAGCTACTTCACACACACACATATATAATGTGGAACTGATACAATGTTGTTCCATGGATATAACTGAAAATCCTTGTATCTTGTATCTTTTAATATAGACTATTGTTTGCCACCGAGTACGTTAATTTATGTATCATTTGTTAGACGAACACGACTCTCCATATTGTCCACTTTGAGTATAAGCTCTCATGATTTTGCTTTGGGCTTTACCAAAAGGCCTCAACCAATAGAGTTAGTATTCTACACTTATAAACCCATGATCTTCCACTAAAAAGCCCAAAAGGCCTCAACCAATAGAGTTAGTATTCCTCACTTATAAACCCATGATCTTCCACTAAATTAACCAATGTGACACTCACTCCCAAATAATCCTCAACATCATTTACGTTTTGAAAACACTGTAAATTCTAAATTGTTGTGCTCACCATCACCAGTAGTTTATTGACATGGTCTCCATGATCTTCAAATTGTAGTTCACTGAATAATTTGATTTTCAAGCCACCAATGAGGAGTTCAAGAAGGACGTGGGATTGTCTTGGAAAAGCAAAGCAAAGCAAAGGGAACTTTCAGAGTTTACAGTGAACAATGCGATTATTTTTATCATGGGGGAGAAAGACATTGGACGCTACCTGGTGCTAAGGTATGGCTTGGAATAATATCATACATTTCATGGTTTGCGTTCCTCTTCTGTTGGGTTTCTCTGTGCTGCCTGCATATAACAAGAATGTATTCTTCGATGCAATTTCCAATTCTCTTGAACGCGGATCAAGGAATAGACACAACCGGTTATCTAGGCCAATGAAATTTGGCGCTGAGGTTTTGTCTTATTTTGTTTATCTGGTATATTTCTGCTCTGATGGCAGGTAACTTAAAGTGATTCTTTAGAATAAAACGGCTTTATGCAGACAAGCGGCGACATTCCACAAATGCGCGGCAACGTTGGCTATGGCATTAGAAGTGGTGAGAATTTTCTGGGTCTCAAATAACTTGGGACGGGGATACAATTATGGTGGGAGAAGGCTCTTAGCCGAGTAATAATACTTCACTGCTAGCTGGACTCACAAGTTTTTTTTCCTGTTGTACTAGATTGGGCTAAACAAATTGCTGGACCTCGGTAGTAGGTAAGTATTACTCTTTCTAGTCATTTGTGTGTGGCTCTAAGGATATGATTTACATATGCACGTATCTCCTTGTAATTATTTTCTTTCACCACCTTCACCTGTTGCATGCATGATTTGTCTGAATATTTTTCTGTTTGCGTGGTTAATCCATGAACAACCTTCTGTCATGAACACAACCTTTTTATTTCGAAGTTCTTGAGACTGAAGAAAAATTATTGGTATCCGATTTGATGAAAAATTGCTTCCGGATTTCTATTTTGAAAAAATAATGCTTGCGTTTTCTTTGTTCGTTTGTGTTTGTTTGTTTGTTTTTTTTTTTTTTTTTTTTTTTTTTTTTTTTTTTTTTTTTTTTTTTTTTTTTTTTTTTTTTTTTTTTTTTTTTTTTTTTTTTTTTTTTTTTTTTTAATTTCTTTTTGAAGGTTTGGTTAACTCTTTACTAAATTTTCATAATTTGGGGTCTGGCCTCTGATATTTGTTTTTATAATTTATCTTCAAATGTTAAGTTTTCAAGAATTCATAGTTGTGTTTTTATTTTTTAAATTTGATCAAGATTTTAAAAATGCATTTTTTAAAAAGTGACCTAAAATGGACATAGTTTAATTTTTTAAGTAGAGTTTATGAACAACAAACCTTTTTCTTACCAATTGTTTATGACTCCTGGTGTGACCAAATTTTCTGACTAGATAACTTTCCAGGTTGAATCCACTTTCTTTTCTTTCCTGTGGTGTGAGCATGCCTGCTTATTAAAATACAGAAATTGTATTTTATCTTTGTGTGTTTGAATATGATACTGGTAATGGCAGGCCAGCAAGTTTGGGATCATTCCTTAATATCTACGTCCAACTTGCCAGTAACTCTCGAGAGAATTTTCAACTGGTGCAGCCTATACTTTATCAATCACTCTCTTCTCTTTCATCAAGGACAAAAATGTTTTATTCCACAATATTATCATCTTAAATATAAAAATTGATTGTTGTGTTTGTTTTTGGTGATGTGTTTTGAAATTGGTTTGGCCTCACAATTTGGATATAATTCTATTTTTTTTTTATGGTTTTAAAACTTTTAATTTGGACTTTGCTTCAATGTCAATTTTGTCCGTGTAATTTGGTTCCAGTGAACGATGGTTATTTATAATTTGAGTTTTTTTTTTTTTTTTTTAGTTGTGCTAGCTGATAGCATTGTATTAAAGCTCGAGTAAAAGGGAGAAGGAAAATAGGTAGGTTTTTCAAGCAAATAAAAACGTTTAGGGAAGATGAATAGTAAAGTTTAGAGATCAAATTAAAGCTAGGCTTAAATGAAAGGAACTAAATTTATATTATTTTATTTGTTTTGCTTATATTAGTACTAACACTGAAACTATTATGAAAGGATATTAATACATAGATAATGGTACATGGAGATTGCAAGCCATGAATTATTTGTTTCTGGGGGTACTATACAAATTAGGACAAGAAAAATAAATTTAGAACTATAAGTGGGAATATGAGGCATTTTCATTATTCATCATAATAAATGCAGAAAGAAAAAAGAAGGGAAATATTTTGATGATGTATAACCAGTCTTGTTATCTAATTTGTGCATGTACTTGATTGGGCCCTTTAGCGCGCCGCCTCCTTCCAATGGCAGCCGAGCCTATGGTGGACCCTCCATTAATGAGAACCAAGAGGGCCGCGCCAACAAATACCCCGTCTTTGACCAAATAGCATTCTCCTTCTACCCACCCCTTCCCATACTCTTGTCTCCTGCTCATGCTGGTTGCTCCCATAATCATCGCCACCGCAATTCCGAAGCTAACCCTGGTATTTCATTTTATTTACCATTTTAGCCTCTGTTTATTAATTTTTTTACCTAAATATATGCTTTAATATTGAAGGGCGTTTTCAATTTATTCCATTATTAAAACGTTTTTTAATTTATTCTTCAATGTTCGTTGCATTTTTCAGTTTTCAGTTAGATAGTTGAAATTGGTTGATTATAAACTTATATAAGATTGATTGAGTTTGAAAGAATTATTAGAAAAATAGAAAAATTATACTAGCTAAGAGAAGAAAATTTATAATCCCTTTTTCTAAGATTCTTAAGTGCTTTAATTCATATCTATGCAACTTGCTAAGAATCTTTTTCGTATAAACTTATCATTAATTAATTTTGTTTTACTTTTATCGCCGTTTAAAGAATAGTTATGGTTGTAAGATAAGTTTTAAAATTACTCTGTCTTTCCTTTTTGAAAATATTACTTAATTCTTGAAATAATTCTCTCGTACTATAATTGCTTTATTGATAATAATATTGTTGTCTAGTAATTAATTAGATCATGGATCCCATGTATAGGAATCCGAAACACCTCAAAGCTGGCCACGTTCCTTTAGCATATTATCTTTTTAGTTTCCTCTCTCCCTCCGGTGACCAGCTCTGCTATTCCTTTTATAATTCATTAATTGAATTTCTCTAACTTTTTTTTTTTCTGAAAGTTGTCTAAAAATTTAAGCACAGTAACAATAAATACCAAAAAGGGTTACTTTTACTACCAAAATTTCCCCAAATGAACTGAGAAATACAGAAAAAAAAAAAAAGGAAAGAAAGAAGAAGATTATTATGAAGAAACAATTACTTACCAAGAAATGAGAAGGGTGGTAAGCAGAGGCCTTTTGACACTGCAACTCTTTCTGTGCTCTTTTGGCCAATAGGTGTGGCAGATTATGGTGTTTCCGATGATATGAGCCATTATTAAACAGACTATACCTGCGACTCCCAATTTGAATGCTTCACTTTCAGGCAGGAAGCAGAATCTGCCGTTCAACTTCAGGTCCTTTTTCTACAATAGATTTCGATTATGATGTTCGAGGAAGCTTTAATTTGTACGAAGAATTAATATTGTAAATGGGAAAGAAATTGAAAGAAACTTACTTTTGTTCTGTTGAATTCAGCAGCCATACATGATGCGAAGGAGGCGAGGGTGAGGACGGCGACAATGGAAAAGCTTATCACGAAACTGGAAGGAGGATTTTCCATGGCGGCCAGAAGATCGAAGAAGCAGTGGGAGTTTAAATCACGGGAAAAGACCCTTGGAGGTTAGTGGTGGAAAATTCATCATTTTCTCTCTTGACTTATGAAAGTCGAGACTTTTCTCGAATCAAATCTCTCGTTTTTCATCTTCATCACTGGTCAAATACGAGGGAAGGGGGAGAGAGAGAGAAAGAGAGAATTTTCCAACAAAAAATTTGAAGAAGATAATAAAATCTCAATTGGACGAAAATTTGAATATCTTTTCCTCAACCAATTAAACAATGTTTAGGTTCACAAATTGTATGTTGGACTCCGAATATTTTGCAGTAATTTATTCTTTTTTTTTTTTCTGACTTTGAAGGTGCACCCTTCCCCATATACCGGTTTATCCGAAACTTATCAAACACTGGAAAAGGATTGAAGTCCCACCATATGGAAAGCCAATAGAAAAGTAGGTGGGATAGAGAGAGAGAGAGAGTTGACCTTTGCTAATTGACGACTTCAAATAAATGGGTTTTCTTTGGCTAATGGAATAAATGAACGCCTTTAACATCAGATGCTCAAAGCTTCAACTTCAAATGTCTCTTTTTAGAAAGTTCTTGAAAGAAGCCTCACCCTCCTCTCTTTCCACTTCCATTAAGAACATGGAATGACTGACTGCATTTTGTTAATCCCCTTTGCATTCAGTTCTCTTTCATCTTTTTCTGAAGAAAATTGGTTTTCTTATTAGAAAAAATGTTATCTTTTTGTGTTCTTTTTATCATTGAAGCCTTTTTTTTCTCAGTATTTGGTTTCTTATCCAATAAATAAATAAAATAAAATAAAATAAATGAGAGTGATTTGTGATTCTATTCCTTCATATCCTGATAAGTGTGATTTCAATTTTCATTTTGTTCTGATTCTCAAAAAAGTATGTGAAATATTTATAAAATATAAAGTAGATTATATTTTGAAACGGTGATCTGTACAATTAGTTAGTCTTTTGATTTCTTTGATGATTTGTTTTATGAAGTACAGAACTCTTTATGTTATTTTCAGAAAAGAAATGAGCACCAAACTTTGTTACGTTATCCTGAAGTTTCCATCAATTTCTCTTCCTTTTAAGAGTTTCAAGGACAGATTGTGCAGTGCAATAAGCAATAGCCTGAACAGTAACCATAGGATTCACTCCCAAAGCAGTTGGAAAGACACTGGAATCAGCAACGAAGAGCCCTTCCACCTCCCATGTCTCCCCTCTCTGATTCACCACAGAATCCTTTGCTCCAATTCCCATTCTGCAGCTTCCCATTTGATGAGCTGAACAGATTGGCGTCAACAAATCCTTCAATGGCCTTGAACTTTCCTCTTTCACAAACCTTTCGTACTCTCTGTAACTCACTTTCTTCACATTTATGCTTCTTCCCTTGTTATGGTGTGTTCCTATTTCCTCTGCCCCAGCTGCTCCCAAAATCTTTAAAGCCTTCTCCAGTCCTTTCTGTAGATTCTTTTCGTCACCATCATCCATTATGTAGCTTAATGAGCTTGAAGATTCTACTGTTCCTGAACCTTTGTCTCTTGCCAATGCAAATACATGAGCTGTCCTGGAAAATTTGCACATTCTTTGTTTGATGTTTGTTCCAGATACCCATGGCATTAAGATTGAGAAGAGACCTGGGTGCAATGCTGGTGTCTGGATTACAGCTCCTCCATATCCAGGTTCTTGATCAGGCGATGACCCTATGTTACACATGGCTGTCATTATTCCTCCTTCATAGCTTTTCTTGTCTTTCTCTGGCCATGATTCATCTGTAAAGGAAGAATGTTAATGAATTTGTGAGATCCCACGTCAGTTGGAGAGAGGAACGAAGCATTTCTTTTAAGGGTGTGGAAACCTTTCCCTAACTGACACACGAGGGAAAGGCCGGAAAGCCAAAAGAGAACAATATTTACTAGCGGTGAGCTTAGGCTGCTACAAATGGTATCAGAGTCAGGCACCGGGCAATGTGCCAGCGAGAAAGCTAGGCCCCGAAGGGGGGTGGATTGTGAGATCCCACATCGGTTGGAGAAGGGAACGAATCATTACTTTTAAGGGTGTGGAAATCTCTTCTTAATAGACGCGTTTTAAAACCTTGAGGGAAAACTCGAAAGGAAAAACTCAAATAAGACAATATGCTAGTGGTGGGGTTGGGTGGTTACAAATGATTTCAGAACCAGACATCAGGTGCTAGGCCAGTGAAGACGCTGGGCCCACCAAAGGGGGTGGATTGTGAGATCCCACATCAGTTGGAGAGAGGAACGAAACATTTCTTTTAAGGGTGTGGAAACCTCTCCCTAATATACGCGTTTTAAAACCTTGAGGGAAAGCTCGGAAGGAAAAGCCCAAAGAGGACAATATCTGCTAACGGTGGACTTGGGCTGTAACAAATGGTATCAGAGCGAGTCAGACACTGAGCGATATGCCAGCAAAGACACTGGCTCTCAAGGGGTGGATTGTAAGATCCCACATCGATTGGAGAGGGAAACGAAACATTCATTTTAAGGGTGTGAAAATCTCTCCCTAACAGATGTATTTTACAGAATTCGAGTGTTTAGCTTTTGCTTGCCTTCTAAATGCATATGGTAAGGATGACTAAAAGCGTCGAAGAATGCTAAAAATAGTTAAAAACTACTTAAAAGTGCTTTTGGAGGAAGCATCTGATAAGTGTAACATGATACTGCAATACTTGTGCTATGTTACCTTTCTGGTAGAAATATGATATTATCAGTTATCACATACCTGTTTCTGCAGGGAAATAACCCCACGCCATTGCTACAGGATGAAGATGCAAGTTTTTACCAATATTGGGGTTTCTCAAGCCGCTTCTTTTCAACAATGGAGGAGTACAGAGCGCCCCACATGCTACAATAGTCACCTTGGACTCAACCAAGCACATCTGTTTGGCTTCTGATCCACACTCAAATTCAAAGGCAACGCCTTTTGCTCTGTTGCGTTCGCGCCCGTCCTTCTCCTGCGTTATTCTAATGGCTTCGCAGCCCGGTAGAATAGCGCCATTTCCCGACCTTACCAAGTCCACAAGCCATGTCTCTGCAGTGCCCTTCTTTCTCCCATTCTTGCAGCCTAGACAGCACCATCCACAGTAATGATCAGAAGCTGAATTCCTAGGAATATTGATAGCTTTACAACCCAATTCCTCACACCCTTTTCTTAAAATTGCATTGTTAAAGCCTTCATTATCAATTTCTGACTGAACTCCCATTCTCTTACAGACTACTTCCAATGCTTCTTTATACAAATTGCTTCTGAACAGCTCCAATTCATACTCATCTGACCATTCTCTGGTTACATGGCTTGGTGTCTGAATTGAAGCTGACCAATTGACTGTTGAACCTCCACCAACAGTAGAGCCTGCAAGTATAAGCACATTCATGTTATCAGTTGCCACTAACCCACTTGATAGGTACATTTCTTCCATGGCTGGTCCTTCAAGGAGTGACAGGTTTGTTCTAGCACAATAGCTTCCTTTCTCTAATACAACCACTTTGTACCCTGCACTAGCTAGCACACCACCCACCACTCCGCCGCCGGACCCAGACCCGACCACCACCGCGTCGCACTTGATAATCATTGAAGGGCTGGGAGATTTGGTGCTTGGGGAAAGAAGAGTGACTGGAAATCCAAACTTTCTAAGTGCTCCTACAGCTACTACTTGGTGTTCTAGATTGACAATGCCTTTGAAAAGAGGTCCGTAAAGCTCCTCTTCTTCTTCCTCAATTTCTCTTGATCTGACTTTTTCTTTCAGGTTCCACTCTTCTGACTGCCTGGCTTTAGCTTTGAATTGGGGGTCGCTTCCCGGGTAGTCAATTGCTTTCCATGATATGTTGTTCATCTCCTCATCAACCTAACCCAGCAACAGAGCAAGAATTTTTCTTAGCAGGTAATTTGTTTACATGCTAGTTTAATATATATATAATTTTGTTAGGTATAGGTGCTTTTCTTATAGTAACCTTTATTTTGGGGGCGTATATATACTCAAGGCTCCGGGGAGAGATGTAAGTAAAATTATCAACTTACCCTTAGCTCAAGTGTTATATTTGGTTATTTGCTAAAATCTCTGTTTAGGGAGAAAGGATGAATTGACAATCAAACTTATTTCTCGATTCAATAGAAGATCAAAGAGATGAATAGGGTCCCAAAATCTTGAGCTGGAGGACGGAGTTATCCCATAAAAAGACCCACTTGAAGCACCCTAAGTAAGAAAAGAAAATATGTATGATAGGTTTTTCATGAGTTACAATCTTCAAATATGATTTTTAGAAACATCAGGAAATGAAATTTTTTTTTTGAATTCATTTACTTAATTGAAAATTTAAAGAGCATGCAAAAATGATAACTTTAGTTTGGAAAAAATAATATAAAAAAATCGTTAGTATTTTTTTATATATTTTTTTTTTTTAAGAAAAGAAAGAATTTATTATAAAAAGTCAACCTAGTGGATGTGAGTTTAATATAATTAAAGGAAGAGAGTTGAAAGTGACAAATCTTGGTGAGAAACCTTAAATACTCGGTCTGAGAGTATTGGAGCATTTATTTGTGTCAGATTGTCAGTGATAAAGAAAAGCAGACCATTATATGCAAAAACTTGCATGTACATTGTCCACGGAGCCGACTGTTTTTCGGTCACCATCATCCCTACCTATTTAAAATTTATTATTTATCTATCTATGTTCTTGATTTTTCTTCCGAGTCAAAAGTTTTCTTCATGTTAGATGAATACGACTCTCCACAATAGTATGATATTGTCCACTTTGAGCATAAGCTCTCATGACTTTGCTTTGGGCTTCCCAAAATGTCTCATACCAATGGAGTTAGTATTCTTCACTTATAAACTCATGATCATTCCCTAAATTAGCCGATGTGGGACTTTCATCATCCAACACTTCACTCTCATTTATTTCCCCTCTAAACAGAATCTTCATTCCGGATAGGTCTCGTAGGTAAAAAATGGACATAACGTTCATTTTATAGAAATTCATAGCAATATTATT